ATAGTTTTGTTCAGACAGATTCAGCGAATTCTGAGCACAAGGAAGAGGCACTTTTTGGTTATTCATGCTTTTAGGCAAGCTTGCAATCTCTTTAACTGCCAAGTCATATTCCTGGCATTACAGTGGTACCTCGGGTTATGAATTTAATCTGTTCCATGACTCTGGTCACAACCCGATTTGTTCGCAACCCGAAGCAAATTTTCCCATAAGGTTCAATGTAATTACCATTAATCCGTTCCGGCGTCCGCGGACCACGCGTCAAGGGCGGAAAAACTGCCGCGGACCGCGCGGCAGGGCGGAAAAACGGCCGTGGACCACGTGGCACGGGCAGAAAAACGGCCACGGACCACGTGGCACGGGCGGAAAAACGGCCATGGACCACGTGTCACGGGCGGAAAATGGCCGCGGATCCAGTTCGTACGCCGAGGCGGAGTTCGCAAACCAAGGTAAATTTTTGCGGCCAGAGCTGGTCGTAACCTGAAAAGTTCGTAAGCAGAGGCGTTCGTAACCTGAGGTACCACTGTAATGCCAGGAATATGACTTGGCAGTTAAAGAGATTGCAAGCTTGCCTAAAAGCATGAATAACCAAAAAGTGCCTCTTCCTTGTGCTCAGAATTCACTGAATCTGTCTGAACAAAACTATATGAATTACAGCTTCTGTAGGGGACAAGGGGAAACAGAATGATGAAGGCAACACTGCAACATGATGATGCAAGCCCCGCTCCTTTTGTATGCACAGGTATAAAGGGAAGGATCCTGCACTGCAATATTGTGATGCTGCTATCATCATTCCAATGAAAGTAGGAAGTTCCTGCTAATGCCCATGACCTGTTAAGTAGTAAAGTTGCTTCTGATGCTTGAGGCTTTACATATTTTGTATTCAGCATCTATCCATAGATGGGAAATACTTTGAGATAATATTGAACATCTGTCCAAACTCACCACCACCATCAAAGATCATTTTTAAAAACTTGTCACAAAGAAGTTCCTGCAGAGAAGATGCCACACAAATACTTAGCCTGCCCTCCCTCCC